AATGAATGAATATTGACTGACTGCAAACAAATTACTGATTGAATGTAAATATATTTCTGACTGACTGAATGAATGAATGAATACTGATTGACCATCCGTGAATAAATTACTGAATTACTGGATGAATTATTGATTGCACAAATGAATCATATAATTAATTATTGACTGATTGAATGACTGAAATAATGAATTACTGACAGACTGACTGACTGCAAATAAATTACAGACTGACAAATTGACGCACTAAATGAAAGAATACTGACTAACGAACTGTGATTAAATTATTGACTGACTGACTGAATGAATGAATACTGATTGACCATCCGTAAATAAATTACTGACTTACTGGATGAATTATTGATTGCCCAAATGAATCATAGAATGAATTATTGTGAATAATTTACTGACTGAATGACTGAAATAATGAATTACTGACAGACTGAACTATTGACGCACTAAATGAATGAATACTGACTGCCGAACTGTGAATAAATTATTGTCTTAATGGATGAATTGTTGATTGACTGATTGATTGATTGATTGATTGATTGATTGATTGAATTGTTGACTGACTGACTGAATGAATTACTGAATGCTAGAATGGCTGGCTGACTGTGAGCAATCGAACTAGCGAGTCGGCTATTCGCGCAGCCTTTTGGCGCTTGTCGACTGGCTGGACGTCTCAACAGACGCCGCGTTGCCTGGCGCGCGGACCATCCAAACCGAACTGCAGATGCCGACCGTCCTTGCGGCGGCAGGTAAACGCCCGTGCACACACTAACATACAAACACGCACAAACACACTTGTACACTCGTCTCCTCGTCTGTCTATATTGTCTACATGTGTGTGTGTGTGTGTGGGTGTGTTGATAGGTGCGAAAGTGTGAACAAGTCAGCCACTTGTGTGTGCCCATAAAAGACAGCATTTCTCTTACAGACGGTCTGACAGTCAGGGCGACACGAGGTGGCCCGTGGCGACCTGCGGACTTGTAGGCTTGTCGACGTGCCGACGTGCGACAGACGACAGACGACAAGCGTCGTGGTATCCGACCGGCATGCCTCAGCGCTGCTGTTGCCGAGGCATCTAAATCAGGTGGCCTAACGATGCGTGCCTCGAGAGCGTTTCTCTCTTTCGCTCCGTTCCAAGCCAGTCCGACTGCCGCATACTTTCTTTTCCTCCTCCTCCTCCTCCTCCTCCTCCTTCTCCCTCCTTCTCCTTCTCCTCCTCCTCCTCTTCCGCGTTGCCTCTTACTTCGTCTGCGTCTCATCTTCAGCCTCCTGTCGACCGGCTCAGTTGCCGGGCGCTGTGCCGCCGAAGCTGCAACCGGCAGCACTGCCATCTTGTCTGGCACTGACTCGTGCCCACTCTCGGACGCATGCACACACACACACACACACACAGGCACGCAGAGACAGACGGACGTCATGTCGGTCGACTGGTGGTACATTTGCACAACTAATCTGGCCTGGCATCCGTCGTGGGCCGTTGGTTCTCTTTGGACGCGCCTGCGCGGAAATTCCGCCGGAGACGACCAGTTCACATG